AGGAACAGGTTCCTGCATACAAAAAGCGTGGAGGTTAAACAATTATCATATTGAATAGTTGTACAATGCAACATCTTAGAACCTGGCATGATACAACAAAGCCTCATAGGAACACAAAACCATACCTTCCAAACTTATTGACGAGCGTTGGGGAATAACTCCTCCCGCATCAATTTAAGTGCAATCGCATGCTCAGCTTTCTGAAACTCGGTCATCCCTGCCATATCTTGTGTCAATAATTTACCGTACTGTTCTAGCATTTTCCCTCTTGTTTTTGCCTCCTTGTTCTCCTTCGCTGCAAGGAGAATGAGCCTCGACGACTCAAGTTTATCGGCTGCAATACGCTTTTGAACCTCAAGGACATCCGTGCGACTTTTAGTAGCTTCTTTTTGGGCTTCTAAGAATTTCTCAAGCTCTTCTAAATCCTCTGACTTCAACTTTCTTTTGTCATTGCCATTCCCATCTCTTTTAGCTGTTTTAGTACCTGGAGGCCGTGGGATATCATCACTATCAGCTGCCTCATGATCCTCTGCCTTCCCCAGGTCGGCCACATCTATTTTCTTCAATCCATTCAGTTCTGCATTGTACGTAGACCACTTCGGATAGTGACGAACAACCTGCCAGGTACTTTCCAGAAGAAATGGTCCTCCGTGTCTGTTCTCATATGCTTTGTGGACTTTCTCCATCAATTGCTGATTGGACTGCCCACTAGCATATACACCGCTAATCTCTCCGTGGATGGAATGGAAATTATTTATCATTTTGTTAACTCGATGCCATCGGTTCATAGCTTGATTGACTTGTCTTTTGCGATCTGAGGGGGTGTTGCTATTGTAGTCCGAGACCACATCTCCCCAATATTTGTCATTCTTCTTGAAATTACCACCGATAGGATCATTTGAGTTCTTGAGCCAAGCACTCATCTATATTGTAAACAAAAAGCTTATGTGAATATTGGCATAGCCATATGGAGTACTAAATATGATAAATATAATGGTTAACTTACCAATCTATCCTCCTCCTCTGATGTCCATGGCAATCTCTTCATAGTTTTACCTTCTCCCGCATCATCCGCAATTTCAACATGGGCACGTTTGGATCGTTTCTTCACTGCTGTAATTGGATTCTTTTGAGATGCAAATGTCAGCGGTGCCGCGAAATTAGCACCATGTGTCATGGCTGGTGGAGGAGGAATTTGTTGTGGAAGACTGAAGCTCGATGAATTGTTCAAATAATTTACAAAACCACCAGGTGGGTAAACATCATTTCCCCTAAAAGAATGTAGACACTCAAACATAAGAAATGCGTGTATGTTCATATAGCCTCAGTTCAGCGAAGAATTTATGAACATGTGCTACTACAAATTATTACACAATAACTAAAGCAAGGCTGAGTAATTGCATCTGGATTATTGTTACGAAACGATCATGAACTAATTCATTGCATCCGGATTATTTTCGTGAAACCATCCTTAGAACAAGAGTACACATATGGTTATTGAAAATTAATTCTTATAATACTTAATCAACAAGTGCACAAATTGGACTAGTAAAAATTGCACTGATTATTTGCATGATCCGGCACTGAAATGGGCATGATCTAGAAAAATAAATAATGTGACTAATGTATCAGTATATGAATCATCACCTCGTTGTACAACATGATCTGGCGCAAGCTTAATTCTCATAATAGACTATATAGCATTGGACTGATACAAAATTAAAACTGCACAAATTGACTTGAAACAAATTTAGATGGAAGATCGACCGTACTGTCCAGATCCAAAGATTAATCAGGCACCTACTTGAACGAGCACATATGAAAGCTTAATCTTAGAAGTATGGAACTAGAGGACGGTGAAACTTACCAATCAACTTGAAGGGAAGAATCGGATCTAGCGGCAGCATGCCCAGCCAACCAAGCGTTCGATGCCGCTACGGCTGCTGCGGCAGCTTTAGGTCGCCCCATCGGCAGGGGAGGGGCGCCATATTTTGGGTCTTGTCCGTCTGGTCCGTCCATCACCTGGGATGGGGGCGCCGCTTTCTTCCTCCCATGGCCAGCCATGTTGGTGCTCAAGGAACCTGCAAGTCGCACGGATGGAAGATGGAGTCTGCTGCTGTGGATTTATGGGGCAGCGGGCCTAGGTTTCTTCTGGCGGGCTCCAGGATCGGGATGAGAAATTTGGCGCGCAGGACGGGCGAGAAGGAAGAGAGGCGCGCCAAGAAGAAAATTTTCGCGCGAGGCAACGAGAAGGATCCGGCTGTGGCCGTTCGGCGCATGGATCACAGATCGCATCAAAATCGGGGCTAAGATGTCATCGCTTAATTAAGCGAAGGCAAGACCTTTTTTTCGATTTCTCTCTCCTCCACCTCAACATTTAATCTACCTGGCACTACTAAGCTAGCACCATTGTACATGCCCGAAGGGGTCTCTCCCTTTCTTCGATCCATGCCGGGATCCTCCGCCGTGTGGCTGCACACGTGCGCAGCCTTCCTCCACCACCCGGCCGACCAGGCCCATCGCGGCGGCCAGCCCGGGTTGCTCCCCGCCGTGGCATGGAGGCGTGGCGGCGCGACGGCCCCGAGGGCGAGCCTAGTGGTGGAGCGGACGACGATGGAGGAGGCAGTGTACGAGGTGGTGCTTCAGTAGGCTCCATGTTCCAGCGAGCTCCATGTTCCCCTTTCTCGTTCTCATTGCTTTACTTTTTATTTTTTCTGGACGGGAAATAGGGAACGATCTTGATCTGTGCTTATTTTGTATCCAATGGATTTTTCTTTTCTTTTCTTACAGTATCGACCCCAAGAGAATCGAGCCTCTTGATTGGATTTGTGCTCTTGTACATCTTAGGAATCGTCTTGTGCTATTGCAGATTATAAAAATTCATGGGGAAGAGAGGCAAGATCAGAGAAAGAAGAACTATAATCAATATTTAAAGTTCTCAGGTGCAGGTAACAAACCAAACAACATCTCCAGTAAAGTTGCCAGTAGAAATAGACCAAATCCTCCGGCCACCTAAATTTCTCAAGCATGTATCTCAGGGTAGTAACCAAAGAGCCCCGAAATCCTTGGTAAGCTGACGGTGAACGACACCTATTCGATGAAATAACTATCTGTAGAAAAAGAGACACACAATTATTTTCTTATTTGAGAGTTCATTTTCATTTCTCCCTATTCATGCCCAAGTTATTGTTGTGTTGACGCATGAGAATAGAAGAGTGGGGGCGATGGCCACAGAAACTATGCAACTACGAGTCCAAGTAAATATTCACTCGTGGAGGGTTCAGAAAGCGAGTCTTCTTATTTACTTCCATACTTCTTCTAAAATCAAATGGAATAGATCTTAGACTACAAGCACATTTAATCACTATTGTGTTGTCTCTATATCTTTGTTTGATAGGAACTTATGTGAAGGCCTTTTCTCCTGAGATGGCGTGATGATAAAGAATGTGTAAAAGCTGATGGTGCAGCTGAAGGTGTAATGGTTAACGATCAGGCAGAAGGTGTGATGGTTGATAACAAAGGTGCAGATGAAGGTGAACAAAATCATGGATAGTCTATTTGTACTATGCTTGGAGAAACTTGTATTAGCCTTATTTATAAAAAATGCAGATGCAGAAATTCATCGTATAGATAGAAGCTTTTTTATACTGGTTGCATGGTGCCTTTTTCTCGCATACGGAATAGAGGTACTTCCTTGTTGCTACTAAGCAAAATGGCAACAAAGGCCATTAAGTAGATCAAGCAAGGCGAAACATCATCATCCTTAAGTAGCTGCCTTAAATACTTCAAATAGTTACGTGTTTATTGTAGTGATCTGTACTTATGTGTACAACATTGTGACCATGAATTCTCTTCTTCTGAGATGTTGGTAGTTTCCTGATTTTAGTAGGATTGCTTCTCCACTAGGCTGTGAGCCATCTTTAATTCAGATTGTAGGGTAAATCCGCAAAGTATGTTTCTTAAGCTTTACATCAGTTCTCCCAAAAGACGACTTCCTTTGTAAAGAAATATAAATGGTCTTATATTTCTTTACAGAGGGAGTACATGGATTGCTTCTACACTAAGCTGTGCGTCATCTTTAATCTACCATATTTTCTCTTCCCATTACCCTCTCCATCGGTTCAGTTCAACTCATCGAAATCTGTTTTTCTTTTGCTACAGGTTATGCTATATAGGTTTGGGCTGACTATTTTAAATGGTTGCCAATCAGGTTAGGTAGGAAAATGGAGGATTGTCTAAGTGAAGATACATCCCCTCAGCTATTATGCTCTTTCGAGTACTATAAACGCAGTTCAAAATCAGTTGAACCAAATCCAAACGAATTGGCCAAAACGAATGGGAAGGGATAATATATGCATAGTTCTTGAATCATGGTAAGCAGCATATATCCCTATACATTGATGTTATTTTAAATCAACCAGAGTAACATAGCCAATATTATAGATTTTCTAAGCCTTCTTTAATTCCTTTTTGTCAATATATATTCGTGATCATGTGGTGTATTTGAAAGATTTATTATACATTATAGTAGTTTTCCGTTCTAAATTATGTAAAACATGACTTGGTAGTTTTGCACATTTTCCTCTCGTAATGTAAAAATATAAGGTCTTAAAAAACTAATCATTTTGTCTAAGTGGATCCCTTTATGTTATTATAAAACTAATAAAGAGATTTGCTTCAAATATCTGAGTAAGTTTACATAGATTTAAATTATATTCATTGTGCTTCGACATATTTACATATATTCATGTTATTCTATTGTCAAAATGGATGGGCGTAGAACGATGATCTAGTTGTTCTTATTAATGAATACTGTTACCCACATTATCCTGACCTTCATGATTATTTTTTCTTGTTATTATGCATTACTATGAGTTCATTGTATTAAGATTCCTTGAAACTTCAGGCACCTGAGCTATTTACAGGAGGAGGGGACCCGACCTTCTTCATGTCTAGCGGTAGTGTCTTCCTTTGATTCGTTTGTGCAACATGGAGGGGACATGCCCTTCTTCACGTCTCGTGCAACAAGTAAGGACTAGCCTCCGGCTGTTCTATTGATGCATGTGCATGTGCTAAGAAGAAATAAAATACCCTACTGGATTTGAACGCTGACACGTACTAACAAGTTTTCACTTTCCCAACGTGCCCATTGGGGTGATTGATACTGACTATGGCAGTCTGGTGGGCGTCGTGCTCTTCAACCACTTAGAGGTGGACTTTGATGTGAAGCCCGATGACCACGCCACATGGATGATCGTCCATGTGATCGCGACGCCGGATGTCGCCGAGGTGGAGGACCTCGATGCCATCTTTCGGGGTGAGGGAGGATTCGGGTCATCTAGCGTCTGAACTCCAAGCCTTGATAGATACATGTAGAGAAGTGGTCTGTTTAGACTGGTAGTGGAACACTAGGGAAGGTACCCACCTTTAGTTGTGTGTGTTTAATTTATTTTGCACTGGACGTGTCCCTGATTTCTATCTCTGAATAATGCATGTAATTTTTATTTTTTTAATTCATAATTTGTTAGTAGTAGCACTAGGGGAAAACTACATGCCACTAGTATCTAGCATAGTAGTAGCGCCTAGTATACTAGAAGCACTACTACTATTTTGTTAGTAGTAGCGCGAGTTCAAATAGTAGTAGCGCGGGTGCACCAGCACTACTACTGATTTTTTAGTAACCATTTAGCTGTAGCGCAATAGTAGTAGCGCGGGTACCAGCGCTACTAGTACGCAGTTTTCCAGTGCTACTATTAGCCTTTTTCCTAGTAGTGATGGTGGGATAGACAAGGTTGCTTCTTCATGTACCCTTCGTGGGTGTACCCCTCCGTGGACTCGCGCAACCGTTATCCTTCATGGGTTGAAGTCTCCATCAACGTGGATGTATGATAGCACCACCTATCGGAACCAAGCCAAAAATCTCCGTGTTAACATTGCGTTTGCTCCCTCTAAACTTCTCCCCTTTACCTTCATATGCAATGATTTACATTCCGCTGCTATACTCTTATACTTGCATGAGGTTGATTGCTTGACTTGTGCTAAGTTGCTAAAATCTGCCAAGACTTAAAATTGGGAAAATGCTATATTTTTATTTGGTCAAGTAGTCTAATCACCCCCCTCTAGACATTATTTTGATCCTACAGTGATTGTAGTTGTTGTTAGGCGCCTTTTTGTCCCCGTTTGGGACCGTTTATGTTTTGCGGCGACGGTGGTCGTTGGATGTCATTGGTTGACATCGGGGCCACCTAGGACTAAACCCAAAGGGGTTGTTGGTCGGAGTGGCCGGGAGAGTGTCATGGTAGTAGACCAGTTTTGTCGGAACACCATTGGTCCACTCGAATGGGTGGGAGTGGCCAGGGGTTTCGTGGTGTGGGTAATGTGTGTTATCCTCTGCAGAGGGTGTGTGTTAAATCTATCAATATCCGCGTCCTCGGTTATGGGCACAATTTGTACTAGGTCACACCGTTCAATCAACACTCACATGACGGAATGACTTACAAGTGTTGTATATGTTGATATATTGTGAGCACTAATAGTTTGGCATGATGCCGATGATGATATTGAGATGATCTCAAGGATGATCATTCAGTTGTAATGTGGTCACGAGGTGATCATGTGGATGTTTTGATCACGAGGTGATCATGTGGATGGTGTGATCACAGGTGATCAGGTGGATCACGAGGTGATCGAGATGGTATATTACTTGACCGGATTGCCAAGAGTGAGATGGTTATTGAGATATGAGATGGTGGTTTATCAGTATGGTAGTAGTTTCATATCATGCTTAGTAGTTGCTTTCGTATCATAGTAGTTGTTAATTAACTAATCTGTTTAATGCTATGTGGTTGTCTTGCCTTGATGCTTTTGGTTGTTGTGAGCTTGCAAGTACATTCAATGTACTGACCTAGCGTGTCATGCCAGATTGCAGGAGATGCCATGATTGATTGCTTGTCGAGGTTACTGTGCATGTGAGCTAGATCATGTCCCAACCAGAGTCCCTGCGGAGTGGAGTTCACCACCTTCTTCATTGTTTCGCTGCTAGAAGTATTTCGCTGCTACGAGTTGTTCTACTGCTAGCATAGAGCTTCCTTAGCAGGCGTAGTGTCGCCATGCTGATGTGATCTTCTCTAACATCAGACACTTGTACCATTATCCTTTGTAATAAGAGATGATTTGTTATATTTCAAGCAGTGTCGTATTCTAGAGGCTTCTCCTTGATCTCTGGGCTGGAATACGGGGCGTTCCGGTTTCTCTGAGCTGGGGTGCCACAGCAGTCATGTGGTTGAATCTTCCCGACATTTGTTCTGCGATGGCTTGCTAGTGACCTTTGATCGGTGCCTGGGTGCAATTTGAGCTTGAATTTTTAACAAAGCTTACCTTTCATGGCATGCCTCGACGTGCTTGCAACAACGAGTCCAAGAATGAGCTGATGAACGACCTAGGAGGTGAGCTCATAAGTATGTTTGTTCCTCCAGACAATTGGTCTCTGATGGTTATGGCATGGATGAAGAAGTCGCCCACCATACCAAAGGTGATTGGTGTTGAGATACTGGTGCAGGAACCGGGGTTGTACTATTCGTCCCACCAAAGCCGCCGCGGACCACGTTAGGGATGAACCTATATCAAGTGTTCTTGCATGTCGAAGAAGTGGTCAATCCATTAATCAAAGTCCTACGGCCACCGCTGGTGCCATGGTCCGTCAATGACGTCCATTACAGGAGTCAACATCAGACTTTCTCCGTGTTGCTTGAAACGATGGATGGCACAGGGCCTACTCCATCGTGTGGCAGAGGCCACCACTTCTTTGGGAGAAGAGGCAGGGTTGGGTGCCTGGATGTGCTCTAATTCGAGGTAACAACTGAATCTTCTTAGATACTAGTTAAATCCGAGCTATCGGTGTGAAGCACTGATGTGCCAGCACATTCGATTGTGACCTATTCTATTTTTGTACATGGACTTTTTTTAGAAAGGGGTGTACGTCAACTTAATGTGCTAGCAGAACTTATTGTGTTGTCTGTCTGTTTATTTTGCATAGTAGTCAAGATATTTCTCTATTATTGATAAAGACAATGAACGGTTATGTACAAGTTTGTTGGTTTCAACATTACCCTAACCGTAGGGATTCACTGCTTCCACCCTAATTGTGCCGCCTGCGTAAAAAATTTGTATGCAAGTTCTATGTGCTATGATGTTCTATATGATTGTGTCAACTATATAAGTTTTTAATGAGTATCAGCAATGCATATGGCTGAAAGATGTATTTACGAGCATCGACCGATGGGTCTCTCTCTCTGTATGTCACACACACAAGTGGGACCTGTTGAATTATTACTTCGCTCGTGACATCTTTTAATTAGGTTCCACTATACTCTAACTTTTTTCTTGAGTTATTAATTGAGCTCAGTGACTTCAAAAAGTTGTTTAGAAGCCTTGTTCGGGCCTTTTCAGGCGTGGTTGAATGCAGGCTGAGTATCTATGTAAAGTTGTACTGTACTACACAGGCCTTTTTCGTTGAATATCAGCAATACAATTGGGCCGACAGTTGTACACAAGATCCTAAAATAAGCGCAGACTGGCCTATGTTTGTTTTAATAAAATGCACAACTCGATTTATTTTTTATATAATAAAATTACCAAGCCCAACTTAACTTTTTTTTAATAATATTCCTATCTCAATATTATTTTATATACGAAATACTTAGTCCAGACCATCATTGTTTTTTGGCCCATCCCAAAAAATGGGTCCATTTCTACTAAAATCAAATGGCTTGCAAATTATCAGAAACGATAAATGGGATGCATGTACACAATATTATTTTTTCACCCAGCCCAGTAAGAAGGTGTATCTGAATAAATAATCAAATGTGCTGTAAATTATCATAAATAGTAAATCGGCCATTATTATTTTTACGCAGCCTAGAAAATAGATTATTTTTTGAGTCAAAGCCCAGGAAATAGATGTATTGGCAAACAAAATGAAATGGGTTGTAAAGCCTAAATAAATGGACTGCATTCTACCACAGCATTTGAAGCTGACTTTCTTGGCCCACTAGATGAAGCTTGCGCAAGGTGTCGTCCATTTAGTGAACAAAGTGATTTAAGGTCTAAAACTAAAAGTCAACAAATTATTCTAACATCTGTAGTTGTTGGATTGACATCCAACGGTGATCCTGCTTCTTCAATCTCTGATCTAGGTTCTCTTGCTCTAGCCGCCAAAACCATCATCGGCTGTGTCGGTGTTGTGGGAACTAGGGTACCCAGACTTGCCTGATTGCGGCCCACAGTGTGCCTCCCTCGATGACCTGGTACGACCAAGACAAGATCCTCGCGAGGGCCCTGGCCTCGCAAGGCGGACAACACCAAGACCTCTAGAGGGAGTGGCCTCCACAGGCGGCCTCTCGAGGAGCGGAGGTTTCTATGCGGGTACCCAGCCTCACCAGGCTGCGATGATGTGAGCCATGACGACCAAGGCCAGGCGGGCGCCAGCCGGTCTAGAGGAGCTAGTTTCCCCTTTGGTGCTATGGAGGCAAGGACAAGCGTGCGTTCTCGAGGAATCTCCCAAAGGTTTCATTTCCGGTGCTACAAGACCAAGACCATGGGCTCGGTAGGACGGATGTCATCACCGAGCCAATCGCTGCGTCACGACCAGAAGCTTTGCAGGCGAAGACCACCTTTCATCGGGATTAGATGTACTACTTGTCCCCTTTCAAATTGGTCGTTGTGGGATCCCTTCCCGCCTATGTTTTGGGGGAAGAGGACCAGGCCACTATAAATATAGGTTAGCCACCACCATGGGGGAGGACGACTCATTCTCTCGCTCCTCCAGCCCTCACAAGGCTGTTCATCCACTATACTTGTTCGTTCTCAGCCCCTCGTGAGGCCAATCCACCACAAAGCAGGAGTAGGGTTTTACACCGCAAGGTGGCCCAAACCTAGGTAAACTGCCATGTTGATCTTCCTCAAAGTTCACGCGAATCCGGCAAGGCTAGGCTGTAGGGCGACGAGCTCGAATCTTGAGATCTTTGCACACGCCCCAGAGTTTGAACCTTTTTGGGTCCGCGGAGCCCTGAATCGGACATTTGGTGTGCTAGGTAGGGGCGTGTTGAAATCTTCCCTCAAGTCCCACTTCGCCTCGCTTCGTCGCCCCCATGGCCAACGCTCGCCGGGTCCATGCCGAGCGTCCGACCGCTCGCGTCGCTATGACTGCGCCCGTGGGCTGTGGCACCCTGCGCTGCTCTCCTTCCCATGCGGCCAACGCCGCCACTGACCTTGCCATCCATGAGCGGCAGGACTCGTCGCTACCACCTTCAGTGCAGCGCGACGGTCCCACCGCCACTCCATCGCCCATT